TTGAACAGGGTGCTTTTTACCCCCTCGTCCAAGTCACTGATGAAGATGTTGAACAGTGTGGGCCCGAGGACCGAGCCCTGCGGAATCCCACTGCCCACATACATCCAAGTCGAAAATGACCCATCCACCACCACTCTCTGGGTGCAGCCCTCCGGCCAGTTGGCGACCCATTTGACTGTGTGGGTGTCAACACCACAGTCCCCCAGTTTCTTAATGAGAACAGGGTGAGAGACAGTGTCGAAAGCCTTCCGAAAGTCCAGGAAGACTATGTCCACTGCTACCCCTGCATCTAATGATTTGGTGATCTGATCATAAAAGGCCACGTGGCAGAACTAATTGAATACCTGATATTACAAAATAACTTTCATAATCTCCAAGGCAAGAAATGAGTTACCCAACCCAATGAAACCAATAATATTCACCCCAGTGGGTAAAACCCAGTACTTAAAAATATGTATACAAAAGGACCCAAAGATTTCTTCAAGCTCTCAAACCCATCAACATCATGGTTAACAACACTAAAATAATAAGAGCAACATTATTTATAAAATATAAAGCGCAACAGAAACTCAGAACCTCAGCCACATAGGAGTCTAATTATGAATTTGTTCCCCAAGCCTGGAGAACAGGGGTCCCCTCACCCCCTTCCAACAGGGCCTTGGGACCCACCCACTGGGAGGGGTCTTCCACCCAGCTCTAGTGAGGCCACTCCTAATACCTCCCTTCTTTTTCAGGGCCCCAGTGCTCCAATAACTCACGGCCCTTCTGATGGCCTGGTTTGTCCCAGCGTGATGCTCCCCTCTGGGGTCTCTTCTTCCATGCTGCTTCCAGACTCCCCTTGTGGCCTGGTGCCCCTGGCCTGGGCACCCAAGCCTTGCAATGTCGCCTGCTTCACTCCTTATGGGGCTCTGCAGATTTTCTTACGCTGCTCTATGCCCTGTTCTGAACACCGAGGGCTAGCTGCTTCACCCAGCAAGTTTGCTGGGCTCCCAAGCACCTGCCTCACACCGGGACAGCCTTTCCTGTTCTCCATGCCCTGCTTGGCACTGGAGCTCTTTCAGCTCACCAGGGCCCTGTGTAGGGCTGTGGCCTTCCAGTTTTATACCGGATGACTAACCTGAGCAGCCTTTCACTGCTCACCACTCATGGACTTTGCTCAGGTCCTGTGCACAGTGGTTGCCGGCCACTTGCTGGGGTCTGCAAGCTTGAGCTGCCTTGCTGTGCCCCTAGGGCCTGGACTCTGTGCATCGGACTATGAACCATGACGAGCCCAAAGGTGTCTCACCCTCCCAGTGCTGCTCCATGCAGCAGGTCCCTGCAGAGTGACAAGCCCAAGGGTCTCGCACCCTCCTAGGGTTCTTTAGGAGCTCGGGGCTATTCCCCGCTGGGGCAGCTCATCTCCATCTTTTCTCACTCCGATCTTCCTTCAGCTCCCCTGTCATGTCTGCCCACGTGCCAGGCAAGCTGCTCCTTTTATACACTTCAGGGTCTCCATCCCCAAAGTTCTCCGGACCTGGCAGGGTGAAGTCTCAAGCCAGGTCTGAACTGCTCCTTGACCTCCCTTCGGGAAAGTACATGGCCTTGCTTACACTGGCTTGCTTCTGTTTGGTGGATGGGCTCCACCAATTGGAATTGCAGAATCTTGAGCCCAGGACTCATCTGGAGCTCAGAAGGTGAGTCTGCTACATAAGCATTTGTTTCTTCATGAAATTGCTAATTTGTTTCCTAGAGTGAAATCTGATAGAGGCAAAGACATTCTTGAGGTGGTATCCTGAAGGACTGTTAAAGCAGTAATCGAAGTACTGCCCTCCTGAAATCAAAATTTACTCTGAATGCAGTGTGAAAAAATAGAGGTTGGTGAAGGAGTAAGCCCAAGTGTATGTAGCAACCCTACTTCTGCAAATAAGGGCAAATTACGACCATGTGCCCTTGAAGCCATCATCTGCTTAAGTAAATGAATCTGGAGAGATCCAGAAAAAGGAAAATTGTTTAGTTCATGAATAGTAATACATAATATTATCCACTTAATTTACCTACCTGTCCAGCATTAGTAGGTGGCCCAGGGTGGAAGTAGACTACTACAGTCACAAACCAAGGTACAGTATTGTAAACATTAAAAGATTGAGTCTGCAGTGTCAAAACCTATTTTGATGTTTTGGTGATGATCATTTGCCATTATCTCATTAGTTGCAAGTCTTAGCTCAATTTTTATGCTAATCTGTTAATGCAGCTTCTGCACCACCTTTTTTTAAAACTGCTCTCAAAGTTGGAGAACACTCATTCTAAGTACCTGCATGTGTAGGTGCTTTGTCTATAATAGTTCTATTAGCACCTATCAGAACTACATGTTGGAATCTGCCAGGTTGCACTTATGGTAGTGCAATGGTAAGTTGTTTTTTATTTTTAAAAGCTGATGTAAACTTGGCCTCTGAGGCCAAAATGGCTGCGGTACTTTATCTCTGTTCAACACTGGCTAAAACCCCTATACATTAAGGTGCCCTTTGTGTGCTATCCATTCTACAGATATTTTCTTGCACTTGCAGTAAGGTTTTTCTTACAGACGCTGACCTCTCTCATTTTAAGACTTCCTTAGTGAAACAGTCATGTTTCAAGTGCTTAGTCATGCATGGTTGAAAACATAGACTAATGTTGATTTTTGTCTAAATCTAAGGACCTGTTATTTGTCTGACTGTAATCTGTGAAATTGTCCTGTATTTTGTAGTATTCTTAACCATTCATTTTTAAGATAGTACTGTGTAATCATTTTGATAGTTTATCTTATTTGTGTTTTATAACAAGTATGTATGAGTGGAGTCTAAATGAAAAAGTGTTCTCAATATTTTAGTCAAGTCTTAAAGACTCATGAAACAGAAGGATCAAAAAGATGTTGCAGTTTCTTAATACAAGTGATTGCAAAACATCCTAATAATATTGGTATTTCAAGGCATTTATACTTCATGCCATTTCCATAAGCACATTTGATATTAGGAAACTTTTGCTAACAATCCTTCCATTTATATAATATGTAACTCTGTCAAAAATATGTAGAGTATCCCATTCTACTGAAATGTTCTAATGTCATTGTTTTACCAGTATCTGAGAAGTTAAAATTGATGGTGTATGTCTACAAAAAATATCTGAGAGAGTCTGTATTTTTCCTGATGCCATGTTTTATCTAGTGTTTTGAAAACTCATTGGAATTTTCATACTAGATTTTAGCTATGTGTTTAATCTGTTTCTATTTTTATAGAGCTCTTTGACAATTACATGCAGCAGGATGCACATGAGTTTTTAAACTATCTACTAAACACAATTGCTGATATTTTGCAAGAGGAAAGAAAACAAGAAAAACAAAATGGCCGCCTACCTAATGGCAGTATTGACAATGAAAACAACAGCAGCACACCAGACCCAACCTGGGTTCATGAGATCTTTCAGGGAACATTAACTAATGAAACAAGATGTCTTACTTGTGAAACTGTAAGTTTGTGTTTTTTAAGACAAATTTGTATTTCCCACCTTCAAAACCCATTTCTTTAATATGCATTTAAAATGATTTTAAAATTGTAATTTATACTCTCTTTATTTTTTGGATATGTACACATGATTAACGTGCAAGGATAATTTTTTTTTTTTTAATGTAAGCTTGAATGTGACCAAGGCCTACTTATAGTTCCCACTTGTATAATAATAAGAATATCTTTAAAAAATAAACAGTTTATTTAAATAAGAAGTCACTAACTCTAGGAAGAAACCTATTATTGCTCAGTGAAATAACTGAACAAACTCTGGAATGGAAAATGTGCATTTATATTTTTGAGCCATAATCTTATAAATGGATTCAGAATTTATATCAGTATAACCTTGTCATGACCCCACCAAATTGTGGGTGTTTGTGGAATACCATGAATATTTTCTTGTGTTTATTTCTCTGATATGGCGTGTGTGGTCATGCTGGAAAGCCAATGTTATGCTGTATCCATTTATGTCACTTTATCATTTTAAAAATATGTTATGCTGTCTATATGTATCTTTATTATTTTAGTCATGGTTTAATTAAAGGAACTGAGGGATGAATACAGATTTCCCTCCATTTATGCAGGTTCTTTATATGTGAATTTGCTCTTATGCAGTGAGCATATTTAGACCCATAATTTGTCATATGCAAGGTAAATTTGCTTTTATGTGATCAGCATAGATGCTCCTCCACCCAAACAGATAAGTCTGTGGGGGGAGGGGAAAGGGCCGTGGACGCGCTCACCCCAGTCCTGGCTGCAGCAGCCCCGGGAGCAGCCAACACCAGCTGCCTGCACCAGGGCACAATGCACCCCAGGAGCAGAGGTGGGTGGGGACAGGCAGAGCATGGTGCAGTCCAGCAGCTGCAAGTAGCTGGTGCCAGCTGTTCCCAGGGCTGCTGCAGCTGGGGCTGGGGTGAGTGCTGGTTTGTTCCTTCTACTTTGCTGCCTTGTGCAGCCCCAAGGACGGTACCCCTCCTCCCCACCCCTTCCCTAGTCCCTGCCTCCCTCCCTCACTGCCATGGGAACCTATTCCTATTTGAACATAGTAAAGTGGGTTCGCTTTGCGCGAATTTGATTTATGCACCATTCTCCGGGAATGCATGTACAGCATAAATTGAGGGAAACGTGTACTTAAGGAAAAGAGAGTGGCATAACTGATGAGTATCTCGGGACATTGTGCTGTTAGACCAAGGACAGTTGCGACAGCTGATCATGGACAGAAGGGGCCACGGGTGGAATAGGCATCCAAGTTATTGTCTGCTTGTAATGCAGGTGGGTGGGGGGGGGAAACTACCCCACAATAATGGAAGCATCTGAGAGAAGTAGTTCACTAGCCAGAGGAATTCCAGGTACCTTGGGTAGATGAGAACTTTCTAAACCATTCTGAGACCCATGTGGAATTGGACAATGCTGATTGGGGTGGGGAGAGAGAGGGATTAGATTGTAGGTATGTAGAGAACTATCTTGGAGATTGGGGAGGACTTTGGAGAAGAGTCCAAGTCCCTGAAGTTTGGGGCTGGCAGGTTCAGCAGGAAAGGTGATCTCTGATGATACTGGCAGGTCTCTCTGAAGGAGCTGTAGTCAGATGAGAGGGTAAGAAACTTCATTTGTGTTTTTTGTTCTGTCTTCAAACGTATGGTCAGTTTTGTTTGTATTTTTTTTCTCCTATATAATACTATCTTACTAATTCCTGTGGTAAAGAGTGATTTCAGGGCAAGTGATACCCCAGGTGTGGGTCTGCTTAGACCAGGGAATGAGCAGTTACTTCAGGTGGAGGGCTGCTTACTGAGTTTTGGCAAGCTATTGAGGGCCGCAAGGTTAGCCTCACCCCTTGACAGGTGCCCCACTCCCTGGTTGCCATCTTGGGACCGGAAGTCCCACCCCATGACCTTTGCCACCAGAAGTTTTCCCCTTGCCCCCTGGAAGTACTCCTTTCAGCAAGGGGGTTTGCCATCTCGGAATCAGAAAAATACCAAATTATATTCTAAAAATCAAAAATCTACTACAACATTCATTAATTTGATTTCAAAAAATATTTTTGTCCTGATTTACATGTGCTTGTGTAGTGTACATAGAGGTGATTGTATAATAGCTTAAAATGAAATCTTACTCTTGTATATTGTGGAGGGGTGGGTATGGGCTTGTGTGGGTATGTGGATGGGTGTGTGGTTTGTGGGGGGATGTATGTAGTGGGGAGGGTGGCTGGGGAGAGTTGTGGCATGTGTGGAGGAGGAGCATTTGCCCACAGCCCCCCTCAGGAGGCAGAGCGCTGCCAGTGCTTGCCCAAGCCTGAGCTTAACGCTTCTGGCCCCAGGGCACCAGTGGAGGCCTGGTGCTCCTGCTCACCACCACTTCCCCTTCCACCTGTCTCTACTGCCCTTCTCCTGCCACTTCCCCATTCCTCTTTCCCACTTCCCCCTCCCCCTCCCCCCAGCTTGCTGCTCCGGCACCATGTCCCAGCTGCACAGCGAAGAATGTAGGATGCAGCAGGAGCCGGACCAGCCTGGCTGGCACCTCATGGAGTCAGTCAAGAATTGCAGGGGCCAGACCAGCTCCTGCTGAGTCCTGCAGCCTGGTGCTGCAACCAGGAACCACGTGGTAGTGGAGTGGTGGGCTGAGGGATGGAAGGGAGTAGCAGCAGCAGCAGGCAGAAAAGCAAGGAAATGTCTGTGGCAGGTGGAGGAGGAGTGGCAGCGAGTGAGTGTGTGTAGCACAGCGACAGCTGGGTGGGAGCATGGGGCCACAACAGTGCACTGGGGCCAGGGCCGTTGGGGACCCAGAGCTGGGTGGCAGGAGCACAGGGCTCTGGCAGGGGCTCTATGGAGCTGGGCTGGGCTGCACCACCAGGGAGAGAAGGGGGCCTGCCCAACTCCAGAGCTCCTGCCGACCCAGGCATTGCACTCCTGCTGCCCCACCCTGGGTCCTCACTGGCCTTGGCTCCGCCACACTGGTGCTTCTGTCCAGCTGTTACTGTGCTCAGTGCACCTGCTCACTGCCACTCCCCCGCCGCCTACCACAACCATTTCCTGACTTCCCTGCCTGCTGCTGCTACCACTCCCCTCCACCCTCCTGCCCACCGCTCCAGCACCATGTAGTTCCCAGCTGCAGCACTGAATTTCCCTTAATGGCAGAGGGAGGCAGGAACAGCTCCAGGGTCCCAGGCCAGAAGCCTCTGTTAGGCAGAGGCTTCCAGCTGGGAATGGGGGCGGGGGTGGGG